CCCAGGAATATCAGGACGCTGAAGGATATCTTGGACAGCGACCTGAAGGCCGGCGCCCATGATATTGTGTATGATAGAGATTATTTCAAGGTGAGTACTTGAGCTTGTTATCAGTGTATGTGGGTAAGTACCTAAGTACCTACTAATAAATTAAAAGGTACCTAGGGAGGATTCCATACCATACTTCCAAAAACAAAACGGCTTGTGGCGACACTAATGTGTTGAAATTTTTTTTTATATTATGTTTTTAAGTGCGTAGCTCCTCCTGCGACCCTATAGCGTTAGGACGCCTTTGGTGTTAACCAGTAGCAGTGGCGTGCACAGGGTTTTAGAACAGGGTAGGCAACATAATATTGTATTATGATTAAACTCATCGTAAATACATAACATAATTCAACTTATGAGATTTTTAATCTTTCGTCAATTCTTTGTAACAGTGCCATCTCTCGTTGTTTTCGTGAAGTATTACATCAACTTATTGATTACTCTAACAACTTTAAAACATTAATATTCTATTTTTCTCTTTAGATTTGTAAAACTAATCTGCATAATTACCTACTCGAGGTGCTGTATAACGATTAATCTAATTTATGTTATCAATTCAGTAGCAGTAACGAATTGTTCATTCTAAAAATTGTACTGAACTGGCGGCCTGTCCAGCCTTCTCACGTTTAATACAAGAATATTACGAATTCTTTACTCTTTTAATTTAATTCTTCGAATTAATAAGTTTGGTTCATCTATTCAAGAGATATTATGATTTTAAGAACTTGGGTATGACTAATAGAAAAATCGAACCGAGCGCGGCCGGCTGCGGCCGAGCCGAGTAAGCGGTAGTACATTTTTTAGTATTATTAAACATTCATTTACCTAGCTTATTCTTCTTCATTTCATTTTATAATTAGTACATAACATATTACTTAAAGCTTCGTTATTTTTACTGACTGAGTTGCCGCGACGGGAAGCTCCGCGTAGGTACCTACTTATGTTACATAACCTAATCACATTAAAATAAAGTAACTTTCATAGAACTTACCAAGACAAGACTATCAGAAGAAAAACTCACACACAATCTAATCACTAAGCGATGGTCTGCGATAGTTTATAATTCTTTACCAACTTTTGTCAATACAAACTTCACAGTTCTTCGTATAACTTTGCAAAATCAATTAACAAATAAACAAACACAGTAATAAAATGTACTTATATAAATAGACAATTTTATACCGTTTACTACAAATTATTTGCGTAGAATTACTAATCGTATTCTAAATCAAATAACAAAATTATCCGAAAATCCACGCATCGCACGTAAACAAAAACAAAAAAATTGTCACGCGCGAGCGGCGTGAAGTTCGCTGCGAGGCGACCAATGAGTAAACCAAGACACGGAACGTGATTGGTCGGCACGCGGCGAACTCAATCACGAGTCGTCAGGCCGTGCCTGCAGGCAAGCTTCGCGACGATAAAATAAACGCGTCTGTGCACTACGCACACAATGACGTTCACCACTACACGCTTAAATTTATGAATGGTTTGCAGGCGACGGAACCGCGTGCCTGCCTCGCGCGTTAATGTTTACAGCTATATACGGTACGCCTGGCGAAATGCAACACGTATCGCGCGCCATCATTGTTGCTATACTATTTATTTTAGGCGTTCACTAATTTTACTATAATTATTATTTTAGTATTTTGTAGTAAAATTAAAATGTTTGTATCTTTTATTACGTAGTGTTATTCACGGTATTTGTAAGGTAGGCAAAGTCTTTTTGCCTATATGGACTGCACGCCACTGACCAGTAGGTACTATTTTGTAATTTTAAATTAGTTGTGAATTGTGTATTTTCCAAGACAATATAAACACAAAGTTTTGCCTATTTTATTTTGGACTTTCATTGAACACGTGAACTATACTGGAGTCAAGTGAATTTAAATAAGAATACACACCACATACCACAGGCTGAAATGATTCGGCTAAATTACTTAATTTTAAAATACCTACTTTTTGTAGTTTTAGTTCAACTAGTTCAAGGAAGTTTCTTATGACGATAAACATCTGAAGTGAAAAGTATCTATTAGGCATTTAATTTTCCAGCGCACAACAGATCCAGTAGCAATAGAACTGTATCACAAGAAGGTTGCAACAGCGACGCACTACAACTTCTTCACGCCCGAGGAAGGAATAGCGTTAGTGAAGAAAGGAGGCTTCGCTTTCCACATAGACACTACTTTTGCGTTCCCACTGATTAAGGCGACCTTTACCGAGAGAGAGATCTGTGAGACCACCTTAGTACAGATGTACCCACTGCAGAGAATGGGCGTCGTTGTTAGAAAACACTCGCCGTATAAGGAACATATTGCTTACGCGTAAGTATGGAAAAACTGCTCTATAAAACTCCAACAGGTTCTTAGGTATCGTGTCTGAATACTAGGCAAAGAAACGTGGAAGAATAAAGTAAAATATTCCATGTAACGGGGTTCACTTCATTATTTAGTGCTTTTACTTAAGGATCCGCGGAAGAATGAATGGGTTGCCGGGCTCGAAGCAGGAGTACTAAGGAGCCCAGTATTATACTGCCGTGTGTCAATTTTATTTGGGAGTACGCAATTAATTCCTAATATTACTAACGAAATGTTATTTCAGCATCCGAAAGATGTACGAAGTGGGTCTGCCACCTCGCATCCAATCAGAGATCGACGAGCCGATGCCCGAGTGCGCGCATACTCCAGATTCCAGTATATTTTGTGTCGGCATCAGAGAGTTTTCTACGCCGCTCCTAGCACTAACACTGGGGATGGTGACCTCTATTGTCGTATTATTTTGCGAACTTCTGTTCGATAGAGTTGTTAAATTAAGTAGTGTGCGAGAATTCAGGCACTAATTAGTGTAGGTTTAGTAACTTGGTATCTAGTACCTAGACGGAATGTAATTAGAGCTGTAGTTTAGATCGTATTTCTAGGTAAAACAGTAAAATGGATTATAATAGATTAGAATAGTAATTGTCTGATTTTAAAATACAGAATATGATCATTTATTTTGCTTAAAATTGTGATTTAAAAAAAAACAAACGCTAAATAATGAGCTGGTAATAAACAAGTCTTCAAATAAGATTGCAAAAAAAAATACATTGTGAATGATAAAGAAATGTATAATATAGGTGATTGATATGTTATATTATTTATTTATTTATTTTCTTCTTCACAAATTACATAAGTGAATGGCGGACTTAATGCCTTAAGGCATTCTCTTACAGTCAACCACAGGGAAGTGCAGAGAAATGAAGTGGTTGATGCGAAGCCAGAACACAATTGAGAAAATAAAAAAGAGTTATGTAATATGTATACTACACACATAAATAACCTATAGAATAAATATATTAATACAATATTTTATAAATCAGTATAGGACATATAAATACCATATAATACATACTACTAAACAAATACTTATACCTACTGCATAAATACTACAATATATATATTATATATATATATATATAAAAAACGTTGTCAGAATAGTTTCCTCAATTGTTTTGAGTCTGCCAATGCTTAAGTAAATGCTCACGGACTTTAAATTTAAAGGAATTGCGACTTGTTGCCATTCTGATCTCCTTGGGCAATGCATTCCACAAAATAACAGCTTGAATGAAAAAGGAAGAATGAAAGAAGTCAGTGCGATGAGAGATACATTGAAGATGTCGATTTTGAGACGAACGAAGAAATTTTGTGTGGTTTGCGCACGTATATTGGAAGTAAGAAGCAAGGTAAGTAGGTGAAGAAGGAGAGTCAAGATAAGAGAATAAAGTGGTTAGTGCCCTCTGCTGCCTGCGCAAGCGTATGGGCAGCCACTTCAGTTGCATCCTATGTGCAGAAATATGATCATATTTACGTAAGTTGAAAACGAATCGAATGCAGTTATTTAGAAGTCGGTCTAACTTGTTGAGTAGATCTGCATTCAGGTCGTAGTAACAGACATCAGCGTAATCAATAATCGGGAAAATCAAGGTCTGCACAAGCTGCGTCTTCACAGAGGACGGAAGAAAGTTCCTCAGACGATACAGAGCCCGCAACGATCCAGTCACCCTTTGGCAAACACTTGCGACCTGAGCACGCCAGCTCAATGTGCTATCAATAATCAGGCCCAAATCCTTCACGTCCCGACTGAACGGGACAGTCACACCATTATACGAGATAGGAGGCAGTGCTGCACCGTCAATCGATCCAAGATTCCGAGAGCTACCTATGATGATGGCCTGGCACTTGTTTGGGTTTACAGCTATGCCAAACCTCTCCGACCAATTTTGAACAGCTGTTAGATCACTATTAAGTTTACTGATAGCACTGGGCAGATCGTCCACCCCAGATTGACGGTACAGCTGCAAGTCGTCCGCATACAAATGGTACGCACACTGAAGTTCAGGAGTGATAAGGTTGATAAAAATAGAGAAAAGAAGTGGAGAAAGAATGCCGCCCTGAGGAACGCCTGCCGTCAAGTCACACCAGTCAGAGAACTTCTCATCATACTGGACAGACTGCTGACGCTCCCGAAGGTATGAAGAGAACCATTCCAGTGATTTGCCAGAGATCGCAAGATGGGATAGGATTGCCAAAAGGATATCATGACTGACCATATTAAACGCGTTCGAAAAATCAACCAATACCAAAAGTGTTACTTTGGTATCCTCCATACCAGCCCTAACATCGCCAGTCACTTTAAGGAGGGAAGTTATAGTGCTGTGGCCAGGTCGAAACCCAGATTGCAACGGGCTTATTAAGCTATGTTTGTAAACAAAGTGAGACAATTGTTTATGGACACAAGCCTCCAGCACCTTAGACTTTTACTATTATCATTGACTATTATCATTTTGCGAATGTTTTAAATTCCAAGGGCACCATACAAATGATTCGTTTTCAGACGATAACTTTATAAAACATACCAACTGCAAGATAAATGTAATCTAAATGTGCAATACAGCAAGTAAAAATAAAATGAGCGAATATCTTCCATCTGTTTATTATTTGGGTACATAACTTCCTCGCAATACAATTACACTCGAGAGTGGATTCGTGAAAAAAATTACAAACATCCAAAATCTGTACGGATATCCACTTGCATAATAATTTATACTATTATCATGTATGTAAGTATATAATACACGGCATTGCAACCGACCAGGGGTAGTCAGTCGGTCACAATGCACGAACGAAGTTTACATAATATATCAATCAGTACACAGAACCAAAAGACCGTGTTCCAAACACAGTACTGTTACGTCGCAACATAAAAAAAAAACATTTAAACGCAGCTCTTTGGCTTTCAAAATATTGTGATGCATGTTTACAAATAAATGACGTCACAATACTGTATTTCGAAGTGAGTCACTGTCGCATTGTACAATGAATGTACAATATTAAGCTAATCATTTATATGGATATAAATGAGGATTTTTAACGCTGCACTGAATAAAAATGTTCGTTCATAACGTCTGTTGTTCGCTATAAAGCTGATGCAGCAAGGAGCTCCGTCCGCGGCGGGTGCACAACGCAATACAAACACTATTGGTTATAGAATAAGACTCAATATTGAAGTCTTTCAATCTCAATGATTTGGAGTTACAACGCGCATCTTATTTCTTACTCTGCTATTAGATTATGTCATGTTTAGTTAAATATATAGTTGTGAAGAGCGACTAGCTCAGCGGCTGACTACTCAATCACTAAATGCTGTATAAAGCTACATACATAATGCGGGTAATTTGAGTTAAACATACTTTTACGAGGGGCCCACTGTTATTAAACAGAGTTGTATATATTAATTATTTTTCTATTACATATCAGACTACATATAGGTAATTTATATATAGAAAAAATGCAATAATATAGATTAATGTAAAAAAGTTAAATTATAATTATTATGGTTTACAAGCTGCCAGGAATAAACAACCGTTTAAGGTTTTTTTAATTATATATGCCTGGAATTCCTTATAATCTTTGCTGTAAGAGTCAATAACATCTGAATTACCTGTAAATTGAAATTAAACCTTCCGCTATTCAATATAAGGTAGGCATTTACTTTTTCGACACATGTGACAAGTTTTATAAAACAATGTTATCATAGATTAAAATTAGTTAAAAAATAATGGAGGTCAACCGCCTGCAGGTTTCATAAAAGCCCCTCAGTTAATAATAGTTTATAGATAAAATATAGTAATACTAAAATTATGATTTCAAATTAAAATTGACAGTTTATATTATTATATACTGTACATATTCGTATAAGAATCAATTAACTTTCATGACAATTAAAGGGTCAGCACAGATATTATACATTGTATGGCTACTGTCATAAAGTTCAAATTCTTTTGACATTTTTATATAGAACATGTAAGCACTGACCCTCAGATCATTGATTAAACATATCCTGCCTATTACTTATAATATTGAACAGCTCCACAAAACTTTAAAATCACGCTAAATTGGACTTTATTCCAAAGACATAAGTTGTTGATTTGACATCTCAAAATGTTTACTGTTTTGTAGGAATGCGGTTGTATAATAGAGACTACGAGACGAGATAATATTCGAGATTTTGTAATAGGAACTTTAGCGCCATACAAGAATGTACAGTCACTCAAAAATTCAATTTTTATTGAATATAGAAGATTTTTATATGTACCTGAGTTCACTACTCATTTGATTATTACTGTCGAAGAAAAATGGCCTCTGTCTATATGAAAGTAGATTATATAGTTGTATTTATCGGGTCTCGTAGTGAGTGTTGGCTGCGTGGGACGGAGCGTGCCGGTGAGTTTCACCGCTCCTCCAGCATTACTGTCTCCTGCGGATACAGCTTCAGAGCCTTTAATGTGCTGCTTGGAGATTCCAGGGTAAGCTGTAAGAGATAAAGACATATTAGTATTATTCATGCTGCATTTTAGCTGTAGAATTTGCTAAATGGCAAAAGGTTCAAAACTATGAATGACGATTCATGTGTCCCTTCGTCCAGCATACTCACCATGGAATCCTGATATTTCATGAATGTCAAAAAACTGTTCTGAAATAGTGCTAAATAGTGCCCAAAGGAAAAAAATAGTGCTCTTGTACTTGCGAAGTTATAGCCATAGTTCGATGAGTATGCTGGACGAAGGTTTCGCCCAGCATACTCACCTCCGTCCGGAGAATCTGTATACGCTTCAAACATAATTCATACTTCAAAAAATAGTTCCCAAATAGTGCCAAACGGTGCCCAAAAAGAAAAAACAGTGCTCGAATAACTTCGGAGTTATAGGCTTCGTTCAGTGAGTATGCTGGGCGTAGGTTCTACGCCCAGCATACTCACCTCAGTGCGCGAATATCGAACGAGCTATAGGTACAATTTACGTCTCAAAAAATTGTGCTTGAAATAGTGCCCAATATCAGTCCAATTTTTGCTTGACTTTTGACTTAGAAAACCATTAAATTTTAATGTAAACTTCTACATACTAACGTAAAATGGGGTACAGTCGTCGACACATGTTTTTGGACAAAAATATTAAACTTTCTAATTGTAGACTTCATGTTATTGGAAATAATTATGGTATTTTCTCACATGTCAAAAACTTTCGATTAAATGCATTATTATATATTTTATAAATAATAATAAATGAATGAAACTTTAAGCGTAAATGAAGTCTATTACTTCATTGCATTGTGTGTTTGTCTGAATAAAAACAGTCATTTGCAGCCAATAAAATTAATATCTTGAAAAATTGTAAAAAGGAAATTATACAGTTTCTTTTTGTATATATGTTGCAGGCAAAACTTATAACCAGTCAAAACTAGTACTGTGACATAGTTATACAAATTTTTAAAACTCTTTCCAATAGTTTCATCAATGAAAGGTTTAGCAATAAAAAACATTTTTAATTACTTACGTTATTTATTACTATTTAAAGGGCCAAAGTAATCAGAATTCTAGTTAACTAGTTCACAGCTTTTGTTAACATTCATAATATAATCAATGTAAATAGAAAAAATTGTAGTTTTAATATTGTATATAATATACATATAAAAAAATGTTTAGCCAAATATTGGTAAAACTTTCTAAAATATAACACGTAGGTACTTGTACTTTGTTTTACTGCTACAACGTTTTAATCACAATAAAATTATCTTACAAATAAGTATAAATTGAGCAATCACAGTTTATAATCACGTTTTTTTTATTAATATTAAATACCCTATAGTTTACCGTATTATTAAAATAATGTGTAATTAATAATATTGCGATTCTAAAGTAAATACTCCCTTACATAGACAATTAATAATTTACACAAGCATCGTAAGATGTTAGGGCAGCGCCATCTAGTATTTAAACATAAACATATTCATTTGCGTCGCGGGCGCCGCGCGTCGTAAGCCCCATACCTATTGACCGTACGTGCATCCATTACTGCCACACTATATTGAACTTTATCACATGAGGAATACAGGTCAATTCCGTAAACGTTGTGGTACCGTCCTTGATCCGGAAAATGATTATTTTGAATAATTTTGTCAGTTGTAATGTAAGCATTAATAACAGCAACTTTATTTTTCATGCATGATTTACTTCATTTGATATCTTAATCCTTCAAGCGCCGTGATCTAGACAAAATATATAAAATCATTGTTCCTAGCTACCGGGGTCCCATGCGACGCGCGAAGGCTTAATCATATTATTATAAAGTATTATTAAAATAATGTGTAATTAATAATATTGCGATTCTAAAGTAAATACTCCCTTACATAGACAATTAATAATTTACACAAGACAAAAATTGTTAGAAAGAAAGTTAATAATATTGTATTCGACTGTACTCAATGTAATGTATGTAGAAGTTTACAATCAAATTTAATGGTTTTCTAGGTCAAAAGTCAAGCAAAAATTGGACTGATATTGGGCACTATTTCAAGCACAATTTTTTGAGACGTAAATTGTACCTATAGCTCGTTCGATATTCGCGCACTGAGGTGAGTATGCTGGGCGTAGAACCTACGCCCAGCATACTCACTGAACGAAGCCTATAACTCCGAAGTTATTCGAGCACTGTTTTTTCTTTTTGGGCACCGTTTGGCACTATTTGGGAACTATTTTTTGAAGTATGAATTATGTTTGAAGCGTATACAGATTCTCCGGACGGAGGTGAGTATGCTGGGCGAAACCTTCGTCCAGCATACTCATCGAACTATGGCTATAACTTCGCAAGTACAAGAGCACTATTTTTTTCCTTTGGGCACTATTTAGCACTATTTCAGAACAGTTTTTTGACATTCATGAAATATCAGGATTCCATGGTGAGTATGCTGGACGAAGGGACACAGATTCATAACCATGGATAAAAATAGGTGGTATATTTAATACATGCTCCTCTGTCCACCCTTTCGAGGAATATGAGGCGTGAATGTATCTTATTTTGTCGATTGGGTTGTCAAAGTCAAAATAATTTATTTCAATTAGACAAGGAAGGCACTTTTGAATGTCAAAAAAGAGTTGAAGCTATCTGCACATTCCAAGGTGTAGATTCCGTCCAAGGAGAAGAACAAGCAAGAAACTCAATAGGTTACGTTTTCAATCATTGATCCCACGCAACTAGGGATAACATCAGGTATAAAGTGCGATTTATATTAAGTTTTTGTTACTAGAATATTTGGGAATTTGGGAACAGTAATAATATACAACTTACATCTCTCCTAGGCCAACTGGAGATGACCTTAAAGCTTTGTTGTGGATAACCTTTAGATGCGAGGAAGTCTAATAACGCCTGAAACAATATTACAAGGTTATTTCATATGTGATGTTATTTTGAATCATGATTGGGTTTACTCTAGTTTTAATTGGTATACTATGACTTCTGGAGGCAGGTTGCTAACTGGATGTTATTGGAGTTCCCGTTTTGTGGCTGATGATGTCGATGTTGAACTTTGTAAGTAATATTAAGTGAAATAGTGTAGTATTACCTCGAGCGTGTCGTGTGCGTGGAAGCGTCGCTCGAGACAGTGGTCGTGCGGCGGCGGCAGGCGCACGCGGATGCGCGCCACGTCGGGCGCCGCGCCGGCTGGCTCCGCCGGGACACGCAGCGCCGCCTCCGCGCGCTCCGCCTGCAACCACGCCTCATACGATAAGCATACACATTCCGACTGACAGATAATGTAGAAAATTACTTTTCTATAAAAAAAAAACATTTGGTATAACTTCTCCGTTTAAAAAAAAAAGAAGAAAATGATTTTTGCTTAATTGCTAACTATCCACTACTACAGGATATCCTTCAAAATTAGTGCTTTGTCACACGTTCCGGCACCAGCTAGTCGGAAACCAGAGCCTGTGGAAAGGTCCATAGTGTTGTTTATCAACACAAACCAATAGCTCTACCAACCTCTTTTTTAGCTTCCTCCATTTGTCTTTCTGATTCTGCACGTTCTAACTCTTGATTTCTTTCTTCTTCTTGTTTCTTTTTAACTTCTTCTTTAGCCCTGTTGATGTAAAATGATAGGAGTATTAGCAACCATATAGGCACATCAAAAATGTGTCTAGAAAAAAGTTAAATTATAGGAAATTCACTGTTTCAACGGATCATCTACAATAAAAAATTTATAGGTTTTTAGTATTTTAAACTTTGATAACAGAGAATACAATATTAGCTTAGTATTAGAAAGTCAATCGGTTAGGCCTATGATCAGCAGCAGCTATGACTGATATAATGATGATATAGTACTGACCTGTCTGCCTCTAAGCTCATCTGGTACGCCTCGTCCTGTTCCCGCTTGACACGTTGCCTGGCGTCCCGCTCCCGCTCGAGCCTGGCCTCGTCCTCCCGCGCTGAGCTAAACCGCTCCAACGCTTCTACTAATCCTCCCAGCAACTCCGATACGCCCACATTACCTGTTGAATACGTTATGTAGGTTTATGGAACAGAACAGAAGTAGTTGATAATGGGATGTACCCATATATTGCTGTAAAATCAGATTTTCAGTCTTATAATTTCATAATAAGGTAGAAAATCTTACAAATCTTTCCTACTCGTTTTTTATTTTCATGTAGTATTTGAGATTGAAATAATATAATCTGCAAATAGGCTACAAACACAGTGCTACAGTTTTAAAATTAAGCTAGCTATGTAGATAATGACTTCTATTGATATAAATATAACTGAATGTAACTTTTAAGTATGAAAGTATAACAGTATTTACCATTGATGACGGAGTATATCTCAGTATTTGAGCGGACTCGCATGATGATGAGCAGTGCGGGCATACGATCTAATGGCAGGTTGCGTATCGTCATACTCGCCACTGGACCTAGCGCGTTTGTTACTGACGATAGGAGCCTGGAACATAATAATAAAACAGTCGTAAGGGAAATAGTTTCTGAAGATTAATTAGTGCTGAAAATAATTGTTTTGAAAGGTTCGGAGCCTTCGAGGAATAAATAAATAGATACTTGAATAAAAAACAAGTATAAATACATAATAAGAAAAGCATGCTACGTCTCAGAAAGATTTGGTGTTTTTAAAGTTTAACGATAACCACAACTTCACTGCATTTTATACAAAAACCAAGAGCACAGCGACTCCTACAGCGTCTATAGTATTAGCTACTCACATATTATTATTGTCGGGATGTGTAAGGTCCCAGCCGTACACGATGAAGTTGGCGGCGAGTGTCTGTAGCACGGCCTCACAGCCCAGAAGTTGTGCACAGAACACGTTCGACAGCACAGACTGCTCATGATGTAAGTACACGCCTAGGAGTTTCCGCTGCAAATATATATGAATAGGGTCAGTTTAATGTTTAAAGAATTGATATGGTACAATTAACTTGTTGAATTTTTAAGTACAGGTTTTTAGTATTGTTATGAAGTCAAAAACAAATTAATATTTTGGGAATTGGCAGAGCAAACCATTTTGTCATAGGGCTAGATATTATTTTGTTATAGGTCCTATATAGGACTTGAACAAACTTAACAAATACCTGACTAATTATATTCATTTTTTAATTTACATGGTAGATATTGGCTATTCAGTCTATGGAAACTGGTCGTTTATAGTCATGTTGTAGACAAACCTCTTTGGCAGGTTTGAGACAGGACTCCTTGATAGCGTCCTGCAAGGTGCCCTCGAAGAACTGCGGAGTGTTGGGACCGTACCGCGTGCGGAACCGCTGCGCGAACTCGATGCAACCCAACGCCTCGTCCTCTACACTGTCGGACACTGGAATAGGGGAACGTAATGCATTACATAATGATAAAAGCATTGTAGAAATGAGTTTTGTTTTATCATAATTATAATTTTTACAGCGGGTAGAGAATAGTTTCATAAAATTAGATTTTTTAATAGACTTGCAAACAGGAAGAGAATCTCACGAGCACAGCTCCTCAGTTCAACATTGGTAGTCAGTCTAGGTGTCTGTAGGTGAATATTTTCATTTAATTCGTAAATCTTAGTAATGAGTGTACTCACTAAGTGGCTGCAACCGCTCAGTCTGCACGAGGTCTACGAACATATCGTCCTCGCCGGTGTAGCCCTCCGTCGTGTCCTCCACCTCTTCCACAGAACTGTTCTCACTGTCTGAACTCTCCACTATTATCTGCAATATAATAAATTACATTATGATTATAGTATTAGTAAATGTGGTAATGGCAGAGATTGCATTAGTCATCACCATAAAGTGATAGTCTGATGTTGTTATGATTGACCCGAAATTGAGCTTTTGTGAAATCTCTATCTTATCTAAAATTATCAAGGACATAATTTACACAATAACAATATATATAGCATTTATTGTTACTCCATTATATACCATGTTTATTAAGGTGCCTATGTTAAAATAACTTATCAGCTGTTTGTGTACAGCTATTTATGATGGAAATAGTTCATAATTTTATATCTAAGTGGGTAGAATATGTAAGCCTAAGCTATTAGTAAACCATTACCAGCTAGGACACACTAGAAAGTAGCTATTTTTAAACGTTTTACAACATAAGATAAAAGCTACAAAGTAGATTGGTTAAATGGATGTACAGTTTAGACTTTTTAATGTTACGTGGGTCCTACAACTAGATGATTAGTAGAAGAGTTCAGTACCGTATTTACCCTCTTATAGTCCTTCTTGCCAGGCGCGCGTCGCACGCTGAGCTCGTGCTGCGGTAGTTGCAGCCCCGCCATAGCCAGCACTGTCTCGTCTAGACCGGGCACTGCCGGCCAGCCTGTCCATGACTACAGGGAAAATATAATGTTAAGTATGGATACTGAGTCGGATGAATAGTTGAAGGTTATTTTTGTATTCCATTTGATTGAGTTCATTGGAGACTATTTCGAGAGAGAGATAGAGAGAATATTTTGGGTGTACAATCAATCCAAATTCTTTGGATCGATCTTGACAGAAAGTCAATGTAATGTCGAAACTCTACACTATAATAGGCATGGCGACTACTTTTTAATTTTTTGTCCGTCTTTTAGATATTTTAAAAATCTTCGATACGTATTTTTTCTTTTTCTCGTATCCAAAAAAACATGTAGATATTTTGAGTTAAAATGAAAAAAAACGTCACAATTAGGTACGATTTCTCCGTAAGTGTGACGTCAACACCCCCCACTCCCTAACTTTAATGCGGAATAACTACGTATTCTTCTGTTAATTTGATAAAACAAAAAATACATGTCTGATATTTTCGTGCGATCTTAATGACGGACTAATTACTTTTTTGATTTTTTTACCCTGTCGACACGCCTATTGAAGATCGTTTATTAATTTTGACAGTTAGCAAAGAAAAATACTAATTATCATTAATAGCAAGTTTGACTGAGGATGTACTTTGTTTTATCTGTTGTCCAAGAAAATCAGTGACAAATGACCTAACAAATAATAACGCAGGGAGAGTAGAGGTTGTAAAAGTATTACCCACCTGATGCCTAACGGGTATGTCTGTGAGCGAGTATATGTCGTTCTTGACTTCCTGCACTGTCTTCGTGCCGGGGTACTTGAGCGTATACTCCTTGTCTTCCACGTTTACGTGCAAAATGTACGTCGTGGTTAACCTTTCTGCCACCCTGGTAACGAAAAGTAAAAAAAATATTAGGTACATAATATTAAATTATCTTTTACCTGAGTAGCATTTTGTTTGATCACTTCATTGATTTGCAAAATAATTCATTATCAATCAAGCAATAGTATGTCTGCAAGTTGTGTCTAGGACTGTACTGCAGAATACTAGTTAAATGAAACGACAGCTAAAAAGCTACTTTATTAGACACCGTTAAGAGTAGTGAACTAATAGATTTTGGACATAGTAAAATACTAGTATTATTATTATCTCCATAAACAAAATTAATACTGATACTCACTCATCATCCGCCATAAGTGTTTCAGCAGCCTTGAGTCGCAGCACTGCATTAGGGGGTAGGTTGAGACTGATCAACGTCGCGTTACTGGTGGCGCGCGACCCGCCGAGCCCCGACAACTGTTGCCGACATACCGGCACGCCGCATTTCTTCTCCAATTCCTTCTTTAAGTCAGCTGTTAGACAAAATTGTATTAGTGTCAATAGATTTTCAGTACAAATTAATAAAAATTGTATTAGTGTTACAATAGATTTTCAGTACAAATTAATAAAGATGCTTATTCATTTGTTTATGTAAGTATATTATAATTAATGGTAATGTTTAAGCTAAGGTATCTCGTACTCATTGATACGGAGCCGCGGAAGACTTAACGGGTTGCCGGGTCTCCGGCTCGAAGTGCAGGAGTAGGAACGGGGTGGTTTTTAGTCAGTAAGAGTCTGACACTCCCTCCCGCCTCACCCGGGCGGGAGAAGTTATTGGATGATTTTAGTCCTTAAAAAAAATGTCTACCTACCCCCTCAGCACAAGACAGACATAACCTACAATATCTACATCTCTATTGAAAAGTTCACCACCCAGGAAGAGGTCAATGAATGCGAAAGCTAGTATCTTAATAATAAAGCATTACTCACCAACAGTAGAGCTCCCAGCCATTTTGACTTCATGTATCTTATTATTACAATGAACCTGTAGTTCTACAAAGGGATTGGGAACGGCATTAAAATTTGCATGCATTGACGTGGATGCTTGATTTGCGTCTTCCCGGTCTGTGGAACAAACATTTATATTTTAGGACAGTTTTCAAATTTTAGCTTTTAAGGTTTAAAAGATCATCAATTACAGAATGGAATGTGAAACTCCACATCTGTAATGTCAGTTAATGAAATTATTAACTTTATCAGCTTTTTGTTTTGTTGCTTCGTAGCATGGAGTCAGGATTGTGCCTGGTATGGGGCAATAGGCTCAACCCCTATTACATGGGACTCATAACATACTGAAAAGAGGGTGTTACATTGTACAGTAGCATTAAGTACCGTAATGTGCACCTCTGCCTGCTCCTTCGGGGATGTTAACTTTATCACTAAATTAGAAAATATCACTCAATCTGAGAATAAACAAGCTGAAGAAATATCAGCATGTATATAAAGGTGGTTCCGAACATTATACTTATGTTATAGTTAAGTTTGTACTCTATAATTAACATGGTGGTTACCTGGTGGGTGAGTTTTTGGAGTTATCACAGATATATCATCGTCTATCATCTCAACATCGTGTGTGTCATTGTCATTGGCGGCTGAGCTGTTCCCGTCCTGTGGCATCACTCGGTTTATGGCTGCCTGTAAACGCACAGGTGACACAAGATTTATAACAACCAGTTAGTATAAGGCTAAAAAGGAGAGACTGTAGGAAATTGAGGCTGTTTCACAATATAGAATTTTCACAGTACAAGTATCTCATCAGCAAAAATAAGAGGGAATTAAGACCTTTATTATTACCTCCTAACTGCTATTAAAAACAGGTAAGTACAGTAATAAGTTAAAAACTTATTCAGCATTTTCAAGTAGAAATCAATAAAATATATAAAGTAAAACTTAGTAGCAGTAACATAGGCCTTCAAGCTGTACAATGCCAACCGCACGCCAATGCCAGGATGACCTTGACTAAGTTTCTATTTCCTACACAATAAGGGCGAATTTCGTAACTACAAGGATTACTAGTAAAATGCATCAATTCCACTTATACATTTAACACACGTAATCACGTAGTCTTTCAATTCCTAAAAGGTATGGCAGAACGCAGAAGTGCACTTATCAAATGAAACATGTAATTTAGCCACGAAGTTATAGCTTGTCGTGTGGTAAGTAAAAAAGAATACATTTTCAAAGTGAACAGCATTTATTAATATTTCAATTAATCCTTAATTAGGTACTTTTGAAATGTCAAAATTTGAATTGCCCGTCAGTATGTGAGTGAAGCTAGGCTCTGGTTACAAAGTTTTGTTAGAGTAGAATACATTTGTACCTCCCTACCACTTTGTACATCCCTACTCTTCCCGCGGGTGTATTGTAAGAGTCAAAGGTCTAAGGGACTACACATTTCAAAGATTGGGTGGCAGCATCAATACATAGTATAAAACAAAGTCGCTTTCGCTGTATGTCCGTATGTATGCTTAGATCTTTAAAACTACGCAACGGATTTTGATGCGGTTTTTTTTAATAGATAGATTGATTCTTAAGGACGGTTTGTATGTATAATACATGCATATTGCACCCGTGCGAAGCCGGGGCGGGTCGCTAGTTATCTGATAAACTTCGTCCTTTTAAACTGCCATCTACTACTCTAAAGAAGAGTTTTTTTTGAAGAGGAAGCGTATAGTGCAGCACCAGCTATTAGTGATTTATATCCTACTATTCTACTTCTAACTAATATTACAAATGCGAAAGTTTGTGAGTATGTATGTGTGTTTGTTACGCTTTTATGCAAAAACTACTGTTTGTATTTAGATGAAATTTGGAACACAGATTTTGGTCTGGGATAACACATAGGCCAATAGGCCACCTGTTATCCCAGGTGAATGTGGGCGAAGCCACTTGGAGAAGCTAATTTAGTTATACCCAAGAAAGTATTATTATAAATCAATGATGTAATGAATATGCCCATGGTCAATCCTATACATGGAAAGCAAGGAAAACATTATAACAACTTGTTTCTATTATATTGGACGCATTGATTACAGTACGACGTATTTAGATACGTTAGCACAGACAGATAGCAGTATCTATAGATAGTGATAGTACAAAATAGAAAAAGAAAGAGTAAACCAATATTCTACAAAAACATAATGATCCTCAAACACTAAAGAGCTACTCTAAAGACTGACATTTGAGGCTTGGCGTATTAGTGAAACAAGTGAATTTATTTCTGCAAATAGGCAGCACTTTTACGCGTCAATTTTATCAAGCGAACGATGAGGCCGAAATTTCCTAACTGACTACTCTAAGAACAAATGTTGAAACAAACTCAGAGGTCCGCATCTTATATTATGATGGATGCTGCTACCCAATCTAAATGTTCAATAATAAAACTATTTTTGGAGGTCCCTTCTTTTACGTATTGCGTAGCAATAAAGATTACAAAAAGAACAAAATGTTGTAGTAGTCGATCTCAAAGATATCAAAATTAAGTAAAAAAAAGAATTTAAAACCTAGTAACTGTAAGAAAAAAAACAAATTCCCAGTTGTATTCCCAGAATAAATGTTTTTATCCTGATAACATGAAAACAATCTAAATAGAGAGCGGGTGCTGAGTGAGTAGTCATAATTTAGTGTTCTAAATATAATCCGGATATATGACAAAGACAAAATGCCTATAACATAGAACCTATACAATTTTTGGTGAAGAATATTTTACTTTTACATTTGTTTCTCTGCTCAACCGAGAAAGTCTGATGTTGTTAGTAATGTTAGAATTCTAATTACACAATGACGGTGACATAATAACATTGCCAGCAAAGAGTTTACTATGGGATATATTTATATAGTGATCCTATATTTACATTACAATAGAGGAAAGAATCTGAGTTATTTTAAACTGTATTTGCAGTATTTATGTTGTTAATACTAAAAATAATAAGAGCTAATTTAGCTTAATGATTAAACCTTAATAATGTTGATTCATAATGTTTGTTGTTTAGTGTCAAGGGAAAATAGTCATATTTTGTTAATGGTCTTGACAAACAAGAGTGACGAAATGATCACTAGAAATGTTGATTCATAATAATTGATATTATTATTTCAATGATTAGCTTGTCAAAAACTGATATATACTTTTTTATAGTACACAGGAAAAGGTTGGGAATATTTGCAAAAGCTAAGTCAATTGACCAACTGCTAGAGTAATTAAATATTTTAACTAGTGCTTATTACATTTTATGTGTGACTAGCTACTTCCGCGCGAGTTCACACGCTCTGCTCAGCTCCTATTGGTCGTAGCGTGATGTTTTATAGCCTATAGCCATCCTCGATAAATGTGCTATCCAACACAAAAAGAATTATTCAAATCAGACTTGTAGTTACGGAGATTAGCGCATTCAAACAAACAAAAAAAAAACAAATTTCTTCCGTTTTATATAATAGTATAAGAAGTATAAGATTATGAATAGATGTACAAATGTTAGTGAAATAAGATATAATAAGATTTGTCTAGACAAAGAAATAATGTGTTAGCTATTAATTTTTTTACGAACACATTTTTATTTTGGTAAATATAATATTACGATTGCAGTTTACAGAATGCAACTAGGGTATTTTAAGGTTCCCACTGATCACAGGTTGGGTGGAAGTAATATAGCAAAAGATATTTATAACAGAAAAATGTGCTAACAACACCAGGAGACCACCTTAGGAGAGAATAAATCATATAGGTAACTCCAACTTCCTATCAATATGTTGAACTTATCATTCATGCTGACCATTCAATTTAATGAAGTCGGTAAAAAATAAGACACTACGATTTTCTCCTGTGTTGTGGCTGCATTTATAAACATACTAATTCACATACACTTTCAATTTTCTTTCATAATAATGAAACAAATAAACATATTCTTCAAGTTAAGCTAAGATTTCAAGTTATTATTTTATAATGGTAGTCATTGTAACATTGCCATGAACATGTCTATATGTATGTCTGAATAGACAGAAATCAAGAAAGCCATGATGACATGCAGATTTTGATAGAGTAAAAAATTATCACATGACTAAGTTACACGAAATTATGAAGTTGAGTATAGATTTGGTATTTTTATTCAATGTCTTATTTTATTCTTTGTTTATTTTATGTGCATCATCTGACTTACAGCTGATTGGATGCAATTCATTATCAATGACATCCAATAAGAAGTATAAATATAAACAAACCCTTTTATGGATATCATGACATAAAGAAAGAAAAACTCCCTTTGTATAGATTTCTATGGTGGTATGTATGACAATTTCACTGAATCTGGCTGGTAACAAGTAATGTTTATAATTTCCAGTTTAAATTAAGAATATAAAAAGTGTAATACTCACAAGCAAGTCCCAATTTGCTTCTTCTAGGTGGTAAATAGCTTCAGCAACATCTTCTATGGCTGTTATACCCTAGAAATATAATTTTTATTTATATTTGTGAAGTACAATGCTGCCTTAATTACGTATACTACGCAATTCGAGAACGCAGTAAACACAAGGTTTACCTTGTAGCTTAGTAACTTCAAGGAAGTTAGTAACGACTATGCACAAAGAAACAATAAAGACATAATTTCTAACGTATTACACGAGTCCAAACTGTAATAAACGAACTAAAAACCAAAGCAGTCATACAAAAAGAACAAAGAAATTTTGAAAAAATCTTCGAATACAACGATAAGACCACAGCACAAAGAGATAAACGAGAATTAAGAGTCACTGTTGTTATACTTCACATAACCTTTGCGAAATATTAAAGAGTGGTGGCTACACGATTAATATAGCACTAACTTATACATGCACTCTTACCTGAAAATTTGCTAGAATTTCTTCTCTGTTTTCTGCCATCCTGATATTATTGAGCTCAAAAAATACTATGACATTTGCGATTGCGACAAATCACTCAAACATTGACCATCGACAAACAACTGATTCTATGAACAGATTTATTGCCAGTAAAAAATATGAATTTTAACTTTAGTCCATAGACTAAAACTAGCATGAGTTGACATTTTTGAACTTGTTTACCAATCTAAAATACAGTGCACTCCTTTTGTCATTTTTTGGTTTATTTATCTCATCAATCTTATATTCTCAATGAATTATAATTTCACAATGCAAATAATATTTACGAATTTTTCCACACTTAGGTACTTGTTACCAATAAACAAGTGAGCATTATACATTTTTATGAAGAGAAAAAAATCGCCAAATGCCTTTTCCCGCCTTGGGCTTTGGGTAAGGTGAGAGCCGTGAGAGGGAGTGTCTGACTTTTTGTTTTTACTACATACCACCTTGCTCCACGTTCGTTCGAGCTGGAGCCCAGGCAATCTGTAAGATTGTCCGTAGACCCGAAGTGTTATATCTGTAACACTTAGGTATAATAAAATATACAGGAGATCAGATTTTAATTCCTAGGTCGGATAAAGAAATATCTAATAGAAAATTGTACTATGAAGATCATAATCATACGAAATAATATGTAAGACATTATCATTGGGTAGATGTGTAGGTGGGTTGGGTTACCAACTTATTTACTTTCTATTTATTTAGGTATGACTGTGTTGGCCGTTCATGATTTTTTAAGCCAATAACAAAACATGTCTTAAGTGTGAGAGGGCCATGCTTCGGCACGAATGGGCCGGCTCGACCTCAAACGCCGACAATCCTCAAAATCCTAATCTCCAAAAGGCCGGTAACGCACTTGTAACACCTCTGGGATTCCAAATGTTCATGGGCGACGCCGATTTCTTACCATTAAGTGATGCGTCTGCTCGTCTAGCGGCTTATCCCATAAAAATTCTCTTTTTAGGATATCAATACTTTTCAATTTTAATTAGAAATAATAACATAGATCTACTTAATAGCTGGCCATTTAGCAGTAAAAAAAAACTATGTAGATAATGATGTACAACAATATACACCAGACACCACAGAACTTGATAACTCATCCAATATGAAGTTGTAATACGTTCGCCTGACTCCAGTTCGCAGCAGTTGAAAAGCGTGTAAGCGGCTCGCGCACGCGCACTACTTCACCCGAGCTTGCGCATTATCGAAACTTTACGCGGGAAAGTCGTGATTGAGTAAATAAAAAACGCGGTAATAAAATATTGAAAGATAGAAATTTGATTTAAATGTCGTTATTTTGAACAAATCTAAAATTCAAAGACTAAAGTAAATTTTTAAAAAGTTAAAATGAAACAAATTCTCTAGTATGAAAAAAAACGAAAAAAAAAAATACCCAGGGCTATTCCAATTTTAATATAAGTTTAAAATAACGCGCATTTAATCTTAACAATATTCTCAAAGCTATTTACTTAATTTCAATTACATTATATGTATCTATAAAATCAGTTTACTAAGTGATATTTTTAAGAATTTTCTTTAAAAACATGGTGTTTCAGCAGACATGGCTACTACAGCCATGTACGCGCGGGCTTTGGCGCTGTTTGCTGTGGTGGTGGTCACGCAATCACTCACCATGGACGAAGGTAAGTCCTACCACTTTATGGTACATGTATATTGAACTATTGAGTTACCATCTTTATATATTTACCTTTTTCGAATACCTAGTACTATACAAATTAATAACGTATAACACCATAATTGCTGGGTACCTAAAGGTTTTCGGTGATAACTGATAATATAAATCATTTTTAGGGCAGTTGTACGTGTGTATTAAATACTTGTGAAATATCTACAAAGAGCGATAATATCCTCGTGATATCTCTGTTGCCAAGTTATTTGTGTCACGGTGTCATAGGGCGACTTTTATATTGGGTACCTACTTAAGTGTCCCAATTATTAACAATTAATTTAAAAAAATATACAGTAAAACGACTGTATTTTTTGTAAAGTACGACCAACTTAGTGTGTGCCTTACAGTTCTAATATCTTGTATAAGATTGAATTAGGTAGAGTTGGTTGGTATGAATTAACAATAATGATAACTGAATTACTAAAAGTTATTATTTTGTATCGGGTTTGGTCTGTAAAGCTAAAGGCCATACAGATAGAAAATATAATAAATATAAACAAAGAGAGACCACACGTTATCACTTCAGTATGCGTAGGAGTCGGTTCAAGGAATCTTACTACAACTGGCTAGAAACACAGTACCTACTTACTTGTCTTATGTTCTATTATTCCGTACCCGGACATTGTAGGTGGTAGACCAGTTATTTTTTATTAGTTTGCATGCGATTACCAATGTTATTTACGGTGATATTTTATTAAACATTAGATACATCTACCTAGTTATCTCATAACTTTACACTTACAGTACAGTCGTTTAGGTTATTATTTTATCAACCACACTATCACAGTCTGTACTCAAGTTTGTACAGTAAAAAACTAGGTACTTGATTTTTAAAGTAAAGTTTTTAATCAAAAGTTTTATCTCAGTTTTAAATTAATCTACGAGTACAAATTGAAAGTCTTCTCAACTGATTGATACCACCTTAAACCTAACAATATTTTTTTCTTGTTTGGCAACCGAGTCTCCAATACACACAACAACTTATTTGGCTAGTTTTGCCTTTCATAATTAAAATCACATTATTGAGTAGTTTTTAAATTGGATTAAAATATGCTCCCTACTTTGTAATATCATCGGTGCACCCCCGGTCACCGTGTCCCAGAAATACATCCGTCAAAGTAAACATAAATTCCCATTAGGACTGGCGCAGCACTATTCTCGGTGTCATTAGCGCTCGGAGAGAAATAGAACGAATGCACACACAGAATGGCATAATTAGATGGAGCGGAAGTTAAGGAATTTTCTAAGGAAGTTCAACGACTCGAATCGTGTTTTGCAAGAAATTTTTAGGTAATAACAATTGCTTTTTTAATGGATACCTATCTAGTTCGACTAAAGTTACTACTTTCAAATCTAAGAGGAAAAATAGGAGTGTGGGAGAGCCATGCTTCGGCACGAATGGGCCGCCTCGACCGGAGTGATATCACGGCCTCACAGAAAACCGACGTGAATCAACGTGTGCGTTGTGTTTCGTTGTGTGAGTGAGGTTACCGGAAGCCCAATTACCCTCCCCTTCCCCAATCTCCACAATCCCTGAATCCCAACGATCCTCAAACTCCTAATCGCAAAAAGATGGTAACACACTTGTAACGCCTCTGGTGTTCCAGGTGTCCATGGGCGACGCCGATTGCTTACCGTCAGGTGATCCGTCAGCTCGTTTACCGGCTTATGCCATAAAAAAAGGAATATGGAAAATATGGAAAAGTTTTTAATATCTCTAGAATTGCGTAGAAGTTATTCAGTATTGGGTTAGGAAAACACTAAAGAGATGGAAACTGTTACAACCTGCTTGATTTTCGCGGCTAGTTTTGTAGGTACGAACGAAATATTTGTTACGCACATACACAATTTAGATACGGTATTGCTAAGTTAAAATTCAGACAGGTCACAATTTTTATTGTAGGTAGTTTGGCAATCTATAAATTGTGTGAGAGATATAATATAAAACATTTTATAGTGCCTTTTTTCATAGTGTGCCAACCTTCCTTCTATCGGTATGATTAGGTACTAAAACCGGACCCAAGCCCTAAAGCTGTGGGAACTACATGTTATTATGAGAGACAAAGCCACCGAATTTACCCGGCGAGGTAAACAAACCATCTCGTAATCTATTTGTCACGCTTAGTTGGGGCAGTGTCGTCGAGTGACCTCGGAATTAAATGATATTAACATGGGAGAATATTACATAGGTTGTTCATGGAATACAAAAATAAAGAAAGCCTTTTCTTGGTTATATCTTGGGATAGTTTGGGTAACTTATGTTTCTAATCTTAAATCGTCTCTAGGTTTAAGTTTACTTATGTTTTTTTCTAATGGAATAGGAGGCAAACGAGTAGATGGATCACCTGATGTTAAGCGATCAGTATTTCATTTTCAAATTATTGGCCCAACATATCTGTGAATGCATATTGGACAACTGAAACTACCAAAATACATATGTCAGTTGATAAGGTCACGGGACATATGGTAGGCCGTATATGGAGTACTGGCTTCACACAACACAATGGTCAAGCGCATCAGAATGTTTACGGTCTTGTTGTCATCAGAAACTTTGTATGTCGTAATGCAACTGTGAGTCAAAATTACTGGAATTTGTTTTACCATTAAGGAAAAGGACACAGTAGAGGCCGTTTTACAATACCGTATATTGTTTTGCTCCTTTAAATACTATGAGGATTTTGGTTGATACCTTTTCCGTTTTCGTGATTTCTCAGCGGGATTTGCATTGTATTTATTTTTGTAGGATATTTGAGAATGACTTGTTGTGTAAATTATTATCTCAAATACCTTGTAGTAATTTTGTAGACCTTTACCATTTCTTACAGTAATGGGTAGTTTAAATGACCTTAGCTACAGATCCTACCTGGAAGTATCTATGCAGTCATCTGTCAACACTTGAGACTTATTTTGCTGAGTTTAGTAATAGAGACTGATTGGTCCTGGTGGGAAACAACTTGTTACCAGTTGACTACTGTTGCTATTTTCATTCTGATTGGTGCATAATCTACATCTTCGTGTTGCTAAATTTGGTCACCCAATTCAAACACAACTTCCTCGACAACATGGTACCTACACCTATCTAATTTTTGTAAGTAGGTAAGTTTAGAAATTAATAGGTTTATTTTGAAATATTTTTAATATTAGGTTTCCCATTAAGAAAACACTACACAACTTAGTAATGATGTACCGAGATGTAAGATATAGATCATTCATATATCATGTAGATAGGCATAAATCGATACAATAACCCATTGCCTTTATTAGATGACTAGATGCTATTTGTACACTGCTGACAGTGGGTGGTGTGCTCACCTCACCACATAATTAAATTACCTACATCTTATGAAACTGTCGAGGACGATTACAGTCGCTGTCTGGTCAATCAAT